TCTTGTTTGTGAATGGATTTCTTCTGAACTTCAGTCATTTAGGTTCATTGTGTTTAAATTTTGCTGGAGTCACTACAGGCTACGTCCACGAAGTCTGTTTTGCTTAGACAAAAAAAGTCGCACAGATTTTCTGTTTACTGTTAGCATCTATCAGATGAAGTGTTAGCCATGTGCTTGGTTTTCTTCTGAGCAGCCATTCTTGATTTTTGTAAAGCTTTTTGTAGTATTCTGCACGAAAGATACTGTATGCAGTAGACCACGACATAGTTAGAAGTCATGCCTGTTTGATCTTTAGGCTTGGAAACCTTCATTTTCTTTAAGAGGAATTATTCAGAAACGTGTGTGCCCTTGAAAACTAGGTAGTCAAAATTGCAAAAGCTGTGATTGATTTATTATCTACTGTTTGAATATTGGTTGTTATGAGGACTTTTTTTTAAAGAAACAAAAAAACAGGAGCCAAAATACACCAGGTACCAAGGGTTTGGTTTTTTTTTTGTTTGTTTCTGAATGCAATGGACTTTTTTATTTTCCATTTCATTTTCTTTAAGTCTTTCTTAAACCCTGCTAAGACAACCTGTATGATTCCACAGACTTTGAAATTGCATATGTTCATGACACATTTGTCACAAAGCCATTTCAGTTGTAACATTGTATCTATATGCACCACAGCATACTAGGAAGAAGCAAAAGGAGTCTTTGTAGTAAACTCTGGTAAAATCTGTTTCACATGTTGAATGAACATAAAGACTTATGGAGAGGAACTAATTTCTTTCACCAACAGAGAAGGTGCTGTTTGTGACCTGTTCCTGTAGGCTTAGTAGAGAATAATTTTTTTTTTAATGCTGACTTTTGGAACAAGGGTAAAGGAAATGTCCTTGGGACCCTCCTGTAGTAGCCTGTTTGTATTGTATATAAAATAAAATACACACTGGGACATGGAATTCATGGTCTTATTTCAAGGAGCTGAATTGAAGAATAGCATGTTACTGCCTTATGTTTGGGGCAACTGTACCACTGTCTTGGGTTTAAACAATGCATATTGTAGTTTATTAATTTCATCTTTGTTTATGAATTGCAATCTTTTGGCTTACCTTCAGCTCTCTTAGAGAATAGTTGTTTGGGTTTTTTTTTTTTTTAAAAGAATGTAGTAGCAGAAGCAGCTCTTGTCCTTGACATCGCTTTCTAGTTTCAAGTCTAGTTGGACTTTGACTTTGCAAATACCAGCCCTTTGTGGCTGGATAGACAGATTAGGTATTCGTGGTTTTTTTTCTTTTTTTTGGCAATAAATATATAAAATGAATGCATGAGATTTCTGTAGAGATTCTGGATTGTATATGATGGGTGTGGCTTTAGGGGTGTCAAGCAACCAGCAAAACTTGAAGTACTTAATACTCCCGTGATGTGACCTGTTTGGTATGATCTTAGTGTGATCACTGAAACTGTACATTGGGAAATTAAAGTAGAATAAATTTATAATTACAACATGTACAACTAGTAAAAAATTTACATATATGTACAACATTGTATATATACACAATAGATACACATTTCTGGAGGGACATAAGTAGAAATAATAGTTAAAGCATTTTACTATGTCTATCTGCATGTTTAGATCAAGTCCCGACTATTTTGGTTTTTATTCTCTCTAAAATATTCCCATTTATTCATTTCTCAAAAAACTTCCCAATAATAGGTCTGATGTTCTTCAGCAAACTCTGTGTGCCTACATTTCTTTACCGGTATAGGAGCCAAGCTCAAATTGAGTGTTTCTTTTCGTACAGACATCCATGTTTAGAATTCTGTTTAACTTCAGATCAGCCTTATCTCCAGAGGTTACTTGTCATCCACTTAGGGAAGAAGCAGTCTTGAGGCTCTTGCCAGTCTTTTGACTACCTTCTACCTCTTTGGAAATGCTGCTTTTTCTGGGCTCAGCTGGTTACCATCATCTTTGCCCTGACTTAAATGTAACATGTAAATGACTACCCTGCAGTTTGACTATCCTGAGAACAAGTTAATATCCATTGTGAGATAAAGTTTTCCATGCTTCGCAGGGTGGTGTTCAGCTCTCACATGGTGATAATCATTTGCTTTGGGATGGCTGGCTGTTAACACAGCTGTTGTGCAATACTGTCCTAACTATTAAAGGATTTGTTTATTCTGAGATAATCACAATAAAGATAACATGGATTTTTGTGGAGTTCAGAGGAGAGTAATTTTCATTCTTCTGATACAGCAAACTTCTGAAACTTCTTTTAATGAATACCTTTATAATGAAGATTTATCAAGGTCCTCTGAGTAAGTGTATAATCTTATGAACAGGTTGGACTGTTTAACAGGGAAAAAACCCCAACCCACTCTAAATTAAGACCCAAATGTGAAAAAAGCAAAGATCAACAAGTTTTTATCCTGCTCTGTACAGAGTTGTTCTTCCATGTTATGTACTCTAAATTTAAAATGTATTCTGAGGATGAATATAGTAATTTTTTTGTTTGAAGATTTTATTATATCTGTGTGGAATATTATCAGGCAGGACTCATTCCAAAACTGTTTTCTGTGCGGTTTTCTAAATAACAGACTCTGTGTTTGGACCTCACACATGACACGAGCCAGGCGTTTATCCTCATTCTTCATGTAAAGTGTCAAATATTTAAAAAAAATTCCCAGAAATGTGTGTCTATGTATGATAAAAAGACTTGCACCATTGCTTACAAAAATGCTTATACAGCTATGCTATATCAATGTGTTTGTGTCCAAGTTCAGAATAAGTCCATATCTGTTTAGTGTGCTTCTGCTTTAATGGGGTAATAAGCCCTCTGCTTTAGCTACACCGCTCTCTCACATTCTCCTGCTGACCACCTCCTCAGTAAAGAGCCTGGCTTCTCAGAGACCCCCATATAGGTGTTAGGTCCCTCAAAAGCCATCTTCAGGCTGAGTAAATGTTCCATTTTGGGACTCGAATACAAAAAAAACCCCATTGATACAATCATAGAATCACAGAGTGATTTGGGTTGAAAGGGACATGATAGATCATCTAGTTCAAACCCACCAGCCATGGGCAGGGACACCTTCCACTAGACCAGGTTGCTCAAAGCCGCATCCAACCTGGCCTTGAACACTTCCAGGGAGGGGGCATCCGCAGCTTCTCTGGGCAACCTGTTCCACAGTCTCACGACCCATGTAGTAAAGAATTTCTTCCTCTTTCAGTTTAAAGCTGTTACCCCTTGTCCTATCACTACAATCCCTGATAAAGAGTCGTTCTCCATCTTTCCCGTAGTCCTCCTTTAAGCACTGAAAGGCCACAATAAGTTCTCCCTGGAGCCTTCTCTCCTCCAGGCTGAACAGCCCCAACTCTCTCAGCCTTCCCTCACAGCAGAGGTGTTCCAGCCTTTGGATCATTTTTGTGGCCCTCCTCTGGACCCAGTCCAACAGGTCCATGTCTTTCCTGTGCTGAGGGCTCCAGAGCTGGATGCAGGACTCCAGGCAGGGTCTCACCAGAGCAGAGTAGAGGGGAAGAGTCACCTCCCTTGACCTGCTGCCCACACTTCTCTTGATGCAGCCCAGGACATGGCCTTCTGGGCTGTGAGCGCACATTGGTGGCTCATGTCCAGCTTTTCATCCTCCTGTACTCCCGTGTTCTTCTCCACAGGGCTGCTCTCAATCCCTTCATCCCCTAGTCTGTATTCATGTTTGGGATTGCTCTAACCCAGATGCAGATCAGTATGAATGAAATGAGACACAGGTAAAAAGACAATTTCATGTGTGTGCTGAGAGACAGCGTGAGATAGAAATGGGTTGATTCACTTCTGTGTTGCTCTACATTGAGAGCATTTTGCTTTTACAACTAGCTTGAGTGTTTTCTTAGTACAAATTATTCTAAATAGCTGATCCACTATATATACATTTTTAAATGTTCATGTGGAAGATGGGATTGATGGTTATGGGTGGAAGAAAAGCTTGCATTCTGGGAAATGTAAAAAGATGTGTTTCAACTGAGACTTCTGGAACACCAGAAGTCCACGCACTGACCATTTTGCAAATCTATGAAGTGCTTTAGCAAACTGTATAAAGCCCAGATAGTTAGAGAACTGCAGCACACAGTGTGCAAAAAGAGTACATCAGAAGAGCTGGCTCTGTTCAGCCCAGGGAATAGAAGGCTGAGTGTGCCTTCTATTAAAGAGAGAATGGTGACAGATGGTAGCAAGCCCAGTTGTCTGCCTTCTGTTTGTTCACAAGCCTAAATTATGATGAGGCCACAAGTACAAATGAGCATGCAGATGTATAAGTGTGCCAGCCCAGTGGTACATATTCCCTTTCTTGACAACATTTTTTCCCTGATTAAACTTTGCTTGACATGTGGACATCATGCAGTCGTCTTTCTCTTTGTTCTGTTCACTTCTCGTCACAGCAGATGCTGTGAAGTGTAAGGCTTAAAAAAAATGCACTGGATGCCTGTATGGTGTGTGTCTATGTGTGCCTTCTTGTTCTGGTCCTTCAAACATTGCTAGAAGTGTATAATTTGCTTTCTACTGAGCTTTTAATAATAATTTATTTATTACTTCTCTTGCTTTTGAAGTTGTGTATTCTCTTCCCCTTCATTCTCACTTTGTCTCAGGTTTTTCTCTTGCATACTTTCTAGTGTATTGCAGTGTATCACTTCTATGTGTTAGTGCCAATTTGTGACCATTAGATTCTTTTTTTGCTTCTGCTTTACCTTAAACATTTTACTTTTTCTAGTTGTGGTGGGTTTTTTTTGTTTTGTTTTAGAATTTATCTCCAGAAGGATAAAGCATACATGGGAGAAGCATAATAAACACTTGTTGTCAGCAAAGTGGACTAAAATGCATGAAAGAATCGTCCAGGGATATGCTGCTTGAGTGATGAAGAGAGAGATAACACAAAACGGCCATAATTTAAAAGTTTCACCTATTGTTGACCATGTGCACAGCTGCCATTTGCATGAGGTTCCCTTTCAGACCTCTTTTAGGTTTCTGAAGGTGATAATGTGCATCTTGCTTGATACGCTTGCACAGTTGCCTCCTGACAGCTGCAAGGCTGACAGTGAGACAGTGTGTACTGGTGTACTGCGCCACTTAAGCCTCCCCCTCCCCAAGGAGCGAAGTACACAGGCTTGTCCTCTGCTGCTCCTGTTCCTAGCTGTGAAGTACTTACATGTTCTTCTTTGTCTGAAGAACTGCTTTTTTTTTTTCCTCACATCGTAGGTTTATTGATAGTTGTCATACATTATGTGGTACGTAGTGTGTGTTTGCTGGAAAAGGCTAGTTTACTTCTCCTTGTTTAGTCAATGTAATTGATCTCTGACTCTTTATCCTGCCATTTCATTTGCCAGAGTAGCATCTCCAGAGGTGAACAGGACATCAGCACATGGGATTATGGAAACAAAAGCAGTAGAAAATAATGCTGATTTAAGACCTTGTTAGGATCCAGGTAAAAATTAATTTAGTCAGCTCTCTTTCTTTCTTTTGAGGACAGGGCAACTTCAAGAAACTATGGGTGATAAGTGCAATGGAAACTGCAGGTCACTGGAAAATTGACTTAAGAAACAACATGTTAGAGATTTCGCCAAGTTCTGTAGTTCAGATACATGCTTATGCATATTGTTAATTAAAAGAGAAGTCTAGTTCGTTATATGGTTTGGGTTTTAACTGCTAAAAGTGTTCTAAAGTATTTTTTTCCCTTCAGCTGATGGAATCTGTGTGTTTAAATGCTTGGTTAACAGAGACACTGAATACTGTCACGTGGGAAAACAGTCTGTGTTAATTACACTGGGATACAACAGTGCCTTGCTCCAGTTCAGGTCACAAGCTGGTAAGTACATCTTGCACTTGTATGTATCTTCTCCTTCCTGCCATGCTACTGTATTGGTAAACTTTGCTTTCAAATATGTTGTATTCTACCTCTGTTTCATGTTGGCTATTTAAATATTACATTTTGTCATGATAATTTGTGCAACTTCATTTGCCTCCAAGCCACTCTGGCTGCCTTTTGTAGAATACGAACCATTCGCAGAGTAGACAGAACATTTTTTTGCAAAACAACTGCAGATTAATTTTCTGAAGAAAGCAAATGCTGATAACACATTCATATGACTTAACTTCAAAAACTTTAGTAACTCCTAATTGTAATGCTTTGTGTGGGCAATCTGCCACTTGTTGCTCCCCGTTCAGAAACTGTCTTGCAGATCTATTTGTGTGTATAGTTAGTTCAGGCAGTTTAACATACACCTGCATTTCTTAGGATAGATTTTTTGTGTGTAGTGATGCTGAGAAATAAACTCACTCTGTTGTAGAAACATGACTGTATTTTAGTAGAATGTTGAGATCTATATTTTTATGTTTCCGTCTGACTTCTGTTTTTGTAAATCCAACAGCTGAGACTTTTTAGTATGTTCTATCTTCATGTCCTCATATTGGCTTTTGGAAAAGCATTCATTGTTTTTGTGCAAGGAAATTCAGAAGGCTGCCGATTTATTCTAAGCAGTGTGCAGCATGGCCACAACTCATGTTGAAATTGTATAACTATATGTAACATACAGCTTCCTCTTTAGCAATAACCAGGAGTTCTTACATAGCATCAGTAGGCCTGGTGATTTCCAGGAGACCATTATAGTTATTTCTGTTTTAAGTTGTGTGGAAACTGAGGCACGGATCAATTAGATTTGATTTTTGGCAGCACATTTAAAGACACATACATGTTTCAAAGCGTCAAGGGCTGAGAATTTGGACATAGACGGATTTGTTTGTCCAGTGAGTTGCTAGTCTTGTGTCATGTAGAGACAAGACATGAACTCTTGAGTCCCACTCTACTAGAAAATACAGGTTTTAGACTAACCTGATTTCTTCAGTTGGGTGCCAAATCTTGGTGTCCTTTGAAGTCCTGCCTGGTTACAACCTTTCATCTGTATCCGCCAAGAAAATCTATTCACATTTTCAACATCTTACCTTACTAAAACAATATGAATGTAAGCTAAGAATGACTGTGAGTGTCTGGGGCATTTTATATCTATGTATCTGAGTGTTATCATTCAGTATTATATAACACTGTAATTCAGTGCTTCCATTAAGTTATTTAAGACTGCAATACGCTATTGTCTCTTAGAGACACCTACGTCATAACTGAAGTGATAATTAAGTTGTTTAGCAATTTGTTAGCTCACTGCTGAGATAATTAATAACTAACAATTAAGGAGTCAGCAAGTTTTTCAGTACTTTTTGGTCTGCAATCTATACCATGTCTTGCCTACTTAGGAAGGTTCCATTTCTGAAAGGCACTGATAGTTTGGGATCCCAAGCCAAAAACAAGTTTCTCTTAGTGCTCTTCCCTGCCTTTACAAACAAATATTTGAAAAAAATCCAGCTACTTTCTGTACAGTTTGGTATTTTTCCTGATGGGAGTGCCTTGAAGATTAAGTGGTAAAGTCAGTCCTCTCTTTAGCTATTTTCCTTGCTGAGTTGTGTTTAGTTTATTTATATAGCTACATATTTTGAAATAGAGAAGAACATTATATATGTCTCTCAATTTATTACTTCTGGTTGCTTGTTAACGTGACAAAATTGAGTGTTTTCTGTTATTTTTTCCATCTTTAAAACTCAGGGGAAAGTAAATTGAAATGGCCTGTTAGCCCATGCAACAACTCATTGATAAAATGACAGTAATATAATGGATTGGTCAAGGTAAATTCTGTTCAGATTAAATGACAAACCTGTTGATATCAAACGGAATCCCCATGTCATAGGAACAGCTTTCTGGTACCTTCTACATGTTGAGTGTATCAAATAGCACCTAGTCTTGAGAAAGTTACATGTTTTACAAGGAAGTCAAGGCTACAGAGCAGCAGCTAACCTTTTGTTGTTTGCTGTGTACAAGTGTAGGTGTTACTCTCACTTTTATGTATTTGCAAATGTGTGTGTGTGTATAATAAATAAAAGCAGTGCTGTTAATAAAAAATGGACTGAAAACTCCTTTTTCGTATGTTAAAACTGTTATTTTGAAAATGCATTTTGTAAGTCTTAGCTTTTTTTAAGTCTTCCATCTTTTAGGAAGGTAGAGGAAGATGAGGAATGAGGAATGGGGGAGAGGGAAATTCATGCCCTGCTTGTGCCCACACAATGTTAAACATCTGAGTAGGATCGAGCAGGCAATAAAAATGAAAGTTAGTAGCCTACAGGCTTTTCTTTCAAAAACAAAGATCATTTATCTGTAACAGACCAACCAGCCAGTCTGTAACTCATCTGTAGTAGACTTGGTATGTAGCTCTCTATTCCTTGATGGAAAAAATGGCCTGCTGTAATTTAGCACGGAATTAGTTTATGAGCACAGGACGAATCATTCTTTTGGGGTTGTGGTAGAATGCAGGTTCCTTTCTTCTCTTTCAAACCTCATAACCCTGGTCTCCAGCCAGTTCCACAGTGCATCCAAGCATTGGACATGCCAAAAGTTGATGTCTATAGATGTCATTTTACTAGCACAACTCACTTTGAAAGTTACCTGCCAGTTCTAATAGCTGTGCCGCTTACACTGAAGCACAATACAGGCAGAAAATAAAGTGTTACTTACAGTTTTCATATATTTATAGCATACAGTACTTGTGAATCTCCACATACGGAACTGAGCTGGAGACATATGAGTGTGTCTGTAGAATTGTATATATATATGTGTGTGTGAAATATATTAAAGGCATACATTGAATTTTGTATGTGTAAATGTACAGGTTGTTATTGCAGTATAATTCAAGCAAAGGAATGTGGTATGTCTTCTGGTAATTTTTTTTCCCCAAGTTATTATTTCATGTAATGGCATATGGATCTAATGAGCTATGATTTAATTAGCACATCACAGAGTCCAGAAGGAACAAGTTTGTAGAACAGAACAATTGGTGCTGGGGCCCTAGTATGCAAACTATTCTGATTTGTGAAGGAGGCAAGAAGGGAGGGTGTGTTTACCTTGAACTAGATCTAGTCTGGTCACATAGACTAAATGACCATTGACTGTCAAAGTTTATTTGCGGGGTGCTTATTTTTGTTTAATTTCATCCAGAAGGATTCCAGTTAGTGTGTACTGAGACCACTCAAGTCATGCAAACCAAAGCATTGTAGAGGAGGCTTTCACATCTGCTAGTTCACATTGCTTTGGAGTGTGATTGCAGCTTGAAATTAAAGGTATTCCTTTGATATTCTTCTTGACAATAACTGACTGTTTTATCAATTTGACTTAATTTTTTATATATATCAATGTGAATCAATTACTAATGAGTGAAATGTTCTATTAGAAGAAAATCGATTTTAGTTAGGATGTTTAGCTTGGAGGTGGTACAGTATTTTGCTTTCTGCTTACTAAAGAAAGCATATATTACTGGTGCTAAAAATAGAAGAGGTTTTTGCTTTGGGAAAACTATGAGCTAGGAAACTTAATAATGAGATTTGGTTGGCATCCAGTTCCTGATGTGGAATGACACAAGGCTATCAGCCATGTTTCCTGTAAAAACGCACAACTGATTGTGTGCTGATGCAGTGCTTACTGACTGAGTTTCTAAGCATCCAGTTCTCCTGTGCTGACAGTTTAAATGATTCACCCACAAAATAATTTCCATTGCACAAATTCAGACTCATAACAAAAGTTTGAAAGAAGCCTGCAGAAATTCACTTACAAGGTAGCATTGTGGTAAGTGACCTAGTCTGCAGATTATGATTTAATATTCAGTAATGTTCACAACTAAATGATCTAGTGCTGCTTGAAATATTAGTAAAATGAGTCATTAAAATGAACAGAATGAACAGAAAAGTCTAATCTGCTGTGTTTATGGCAATGTAAAGCTATGTAATTGGTTGAAAGGTACAACAGAAAGATTATTTTGGATAAATGCTGTCAAACTGATGTGAACCCAAGGATTTCTGGGAGCTTTTTCTTTTGAGTCTATGTGCTGAATGCTGTTGGAATTTTACTAGGGTACTTGTCATAGGTGTCACAATGAATTTCTGAAGTCTTATACTTACAACTGAAGAGAAGCAAAAAGATTGTTTTCCTCATTTGGAAATAATGCTTCAACCTCTGATGTCTTGGATAGTAATCTGGCATTGACAAGCTGACTGTGTTTTTACTGTGTGTTTCACTTTTTTGCAAAGCAGGCATTTTATTATTTGGGTATTTTGCAATTCTGTATTCCAAATGGAAGACTGTGTCCCACGTGTTAACAGGAAACGGGTTGACCTGTCTGATCATTTGATATAGTCTTCTGATAAGTTATAGACTTACTTCCATTCACTTTTTTCAAACTTGTTCAAAGTTATGACTGTACATCTCTCATCAGTTACAGTCCCAATTTAATGCTTAATGTAGGTACCGCATTTTAATAGTAGCCTGCAGCAGATAATGCAAAATTATGTGGGAATAGTGCTTTTCCATGGCTGTTATGCTAATCTTCTTAGATCAGAAAACAGCTGCTGGTAAAATGTATTTATTGAATGACTTATTGCAAGTAGCATTATTTTGTATAGCTGCTGTGTGGGGTTTGTGGGTTTTTATTCTCCACTGGGTTTCCTTTCCCTTATTCTGTGCATGTTGGTTTGGGTTTTTTTCCCTTTATCCCCCAACAACCATCCCAGTTTATATCTAAAGCCTTTTTTGTTTGCAGCAGATGGGTGAGGTGCACTGCGTTAATAGCTTCTGTTCGTGTGTTTGTGTCTTCTGCCACGAGGATAAGCATTTTGTAAAAAGAAATCAGTACAGCAGTTCTGCTTATGCAGAGTGCAACCATTTGAGTGACAGTTTACTAGGAATGGAGTATGGATGTGCCTGCAGGAAGTGCTGCA